GGTGCTGGGTGGGCATCACAGCTGCACGGTGAAGGGCAACGCGGGTGCAGCGCAGCACAAGGCACCAGCGGAGCCTGGAGCCAGCGGGCTGCCCCCGTGAGCAGCAGGCCCCCGACGGCTTTCCTGTAAGCACGGAATTTCAGATGCATCAGGACAATTTCAGTTTCCATCACCTTTGAGCTCTCTGCTGGCTTTGATACAGCTAAAAATCAATCCAAGTAACACACACGTGCGTGCCCTCACAGCAGGCTGCATTCTCTTCCACACCTCCCTCTCCCTCGATAGTCTTATACATCCCATACACACGCGTGCGCGTGACACAGTGTGAAAGGAGCAGGGGTCTACACATTTTCCAGGTCTGAAAAGTTATTTCCTAGCACCATCCGACAGGTCACAATGAGACAAGTTCTCACCCCCAGGTACTGGCCCAGACACTATACACAAGCAAGCAGACCGCTATGAAAAACCACCGATACTGAAGAAAAATACGGAAGGAAGAAGGTGATTAAATCTCAAACAGGAGACTCTGAGGTCATCAAACCTCAAACAGCATTACAGAGATATACCTGGCCTGGGGTGTCTTGTTTCTCACACAACACTTCAGCAAAGTCCAATATTCTAGCCAAACCACAACAATAACTTCCAAAGCCACGGTTTTAGCACCCAGCAATAGCAGGTAATGAAGACCAGCCGTGCTCGTTAACGGTTGGTTGGGAAATGGGGGTTTTGTCAGTGGGGGAAGAGCAAGCTAACAAAACCCCACGGTCTCCTACTGCACCGACGGTTGTGTTTGTTCGTTATACCTGCTAAGCAGCAATTAGCTCAACGCCACCAGAACTGGAATAACAGCTCCAGGTGCTAAGACAAAGGAAGTTTTCACTCCTTAAAAATGCATCTTTAGGGACAGCAGGAAAGAAGAAGAGCCTCTGCCGACATACAAGCTGAAGAAACGATGCAACAGGAAATTCTTCACGTGCACAACAGCCCGAGTCAAAAACTCGAGTACTTCAGGCATTCCTAATAGCTTCCCTGCCCGTCAGCGGGGGTGAAGGGAACAGGGAGGTAGAAGGACTCTTCTAGACTCTGTAAGATAAAATCTGGGGTTAAAACCAGAATAGAATAGCCACTTTTTTCAGTCATTGACTTAAAATGGTAAAGGACTGCTCCAGATCTTTTCCAGTGTGGAAAAGGTGCACTGAAAGCTGACACAAGCAAACCTCTCCGTGCTAAACAAAGGCTGTTTTCTGTTCCTTTGGATTCTTAAAACACTCACGGTGTAACCACTCCTTAAAATTATTTTGTGTTTCCCTCCAGTCCTATTTATCCTTCCCCATGTTCCTGATGCCCCAACCAAGACCAGAGCCTGTTGGTAAATGCATTCTGCTCCTCTGCCCAAAGGTGGGGGGAGAGAATTGACTGCACAGCACGTCACCTCCAACACCGATCTCGGGGCTGCGCACCATGGGACCTCCCCGGCCTTGATCTCGGCCATCAGGCTGAGAAACGGGCGTCACGAAGAATGCAATACGGACTGCTCCCCTCCACTCTGGGGTACAATTTCATCCTCTTAATTCTTCGTGGTTGTATTACAGAGTTTTCTTAACTAATCCCACTTATTTAAAAAGAACACCCCTGGCGCCTCTCCGCTCGGCCATAACCTGACACTACGCAATTCAGTGACACGTGTACCCTGATGTGCCTGGGGCAACCCCTCACAGCCCAGCACAGCTCTGCCAGTCCCCACACCCAGCACCACCAGCAGCCCGGCAACCTCTCTGCCACCAAAGCTTGCCTTTTTCTTTTCTAGCATTTCGGTGAACCCGTACATTATTCCAGGTCACATACAAAAATCTGGCAGCATCTATCTCTATTTTTTACATCATGAAACAGCATAACTAACTGCCATAAAACTGTCAAACAAGGGCAGCGTGACTGATGGTGGAACTATACAGTCGCTGTTCTCATTTCTAAGTGTTTGGGTTTGCTGGTTAATTCACAAACTTGAGGAGTTCTAGATCAAGAAGGCTCTAGCCCAGAAAAAAAAAAATAAATCCCATAAACCAGAAGAATAAACAAATCCCTGGCCTTTTCTTGTTTAAGCTGATCAGACTGATTTATTATTTTCCTGTCACCAGCTGTTTATCTCAGGTTTGAGCTAATTAAGCATCTATTTCTAAAAGTATATAAATTAACAACAACAGTCCAGCGAGCACAAGCCACTCCGTTTACTCACCAGCCCATTTCCTTTCCACCTCTCCAGAGCCCACAAACAGAGGAAGCACGCAAAGATCCTGGGTTACGCGGCAGAACTTCGTGAACAATTACAGAAGAGAAACCCTGTCCTCGCAGATCGCTCCCGAAGGATAATTAGAAGGAAATCATAAATGAAAACCTGTTGAAGTATTTATAGCACTAGACAGAGGGCCACAGGTGCCATAAAGCTGATCCCAGAAACAAGGAGTTTCCAGGTTACATTTTAATTAAGAAAACATTCAACACAGATGTCAATGTGAAACAAAACATTCCAAAATTTAGTACCTTACATATTTCAAATCTAGTCTGCTAATATGCAACAGCATTATTGTTGTTTATTTAGCCTCTCCCCTACTGCCTCACAAAGGCAAAACTGATTTTGGAAGTGAAGAGCTTGCATGATATGCAGAACACATACGCTATACATTCCTTCCATTAACATATTTTCCAATGGAGCTTTTTATGCCACCAGTCAAATTCCCCAAACTTGGTATCCCTACATACATTCCACTGCATGGATGTGACCCATTTTCCTCCTCTAGTCCCATATCCTTTTATGTCCTTCTTCAAAAAAAAAAACCCACACAAAAAAAGTGTCCTTCTTCAAAAAAAAACCCAAACACCAAACAAAAAAAGCCCATCCAGCCAGCTCCTTCTTTTGGAGAACAGCTTTACATTCCTGAGAGAGAGTAACTGTTGGAACAAGACTGCCTCGAAACGTTCCGGGACTCGTCAGACGTTGTAATCCGGGGACTTGCCCTGCGGTTGTCGCAGTCGGATTTGTAAGGTAGAAAATGCACCCACAGTCACGTGGAAGAAAAGCTGCCACAGGTTGCGCAGTTCGTACAGGTACATGTTACACAGGCAAATTAACCCAAAAGTCAGGAAGGATTTGGCATTCCTCCAGCCCGTGTAGTATACAAACAGGTAACACTGTCAAGAACAAAGAAATCAGATTATCGCATGGAAAACAACTTCCACTGCAGAAACTATCTGGTTCTTGAGAAATTACAACCCCAAAACAAGTACAACTAACTCAAAACTCGTCAGAAGGGTAGCAATTTAGCAGCAATGGAAGGGTGTAAAGTACCTGATATCAATACAAGGTTACATTCTGCTTCCACTAAATCCTCCTGGAGAACAATTTTCTCGTCACAATGGATTACAACCTCCAAGGAAGGGCCCAAGACAAAGGAAAGTGGCTGTTCCTGGCAATCTCAGGTCAAAATACACTGTTTTCTCCGAGCGATGGGGAAGGAACAAGAGCCAGTGTCACCTCTTCTTCATGCGAAGCAATGGGAAGGACAGGAAACACACCACAGCCCTAACACCCAGAATACTCAGCACAAGGCAATCCCCCTGATTCCCACCCGGTATCCTGTTAGGGATAACGCAGAGGGCTAACTGGTGGGCACAGAGAGGTCCGCACAGGTTCCTTACCCTTTTGGGGCAGCGCCAGGGTCACGTTTGGAGAGAAATACCCAACTGCTGTAGTTCTACCACATTTTAAGGGCCGGTCTCTGCGCAGCGGGGTGTACACAGTGTCAGCACGGCACGCAGCTGCCTGCTCCACCTTCTTCCCACCGCAGCTGGAGCCCTGCTCAAGCCTCTTGCCTTGGGTTCCATCTCTGAGAGGACACAGCTGCCCCCCGCTTTTTTCTGGACCTCAGTTTTACTGTGGCTGTTGTCCAAACTACTTCCTTGACTTCCATACAGGAATTGTTTGCCCTCTCTGGATTCTAGCCATTTCCTTTTGCTGTGCTCCACGGTAGGTACCAACATCGCTTGGGCTTACTTCGTATTCCAAAGCTGTTCCCCGGGGATACGTAACCACGCCCACACAAATTTAACAGCATTCATCATCAGATCATCTACGTGTCAATTCTGCTCTTGGGCATTTGCCATGTTGTGTCAGAGGCAGAGAAACTCTACTGAACCTTTTCACTTTTCATGTTCCTCCGAAAAGGGCGGAAGCACTGCAGACTCGCAAGCGAACGACGCCGTTTACTGAGATTACGTTCTGCCTGAAACTTAGCTGCTTCCTCGTAAAGCACGCACTGCCACTGTAACTGTGCTCAGGTTCACAAAACTGCTTGTAATTTCTGAGTATCTAAGTATCTTCAGAGCTGTGAGAAGGGACAGCACCAGCGAGATGCGTATGTCCTTCCTCCAGCACGAAGTGGAACTAGAGGTAAGCAATCCATGTGGTTCAGAGGACGGAATTCCTCTGAACCTGCCTGGCCACTCTGAGCAGAGCACACACAACCTACTTGTGCTGACAGTTTTACAAATCGCATCTAAAAGAGCAATTAGTTGGTACTAGGATCTCTGCAGTAAGAACTCAGACAATTCCTTAGCGTCAGCACCTCCACTGACAACACAGGAAGAAGTGTAACGGCTTCCAAGATTAAAATAAGAGTCAGGATACGCTTCATCAAAATGATTAATAAATATGAAGGATTTAAAAACCAAAAATACTGTGGAATACAGCGGGGGAAAGACATATGTCCTTATGTCTCAGTGCACAGACATGAATACTTTTTATAAAGAATATGGTTTCTAATTTGGTAGAGGGGGGAGGAATGTGTGTTTTCTGCACAAAGAAAAGAATGGAGGAGATCCACCTTACCTGATATGGAACAGATTGTTGGCATAGAAAATTAACACCAATCTGAAGAATTATTTAAGGCAGAAGCTGATGAAAAGTCAACACGTGGTGAAGAACACCAGTTGTACTGTGACATTTTGCTAGAGCTACAGAGAATGGAGATTAGGGGTAACCTGGACAAAAGGCTGACATCAAAGGGAAATCCTGAAACGTTATTTTACAGTCTGACCCTGTATTAAACACTGGCCCAGGGAAGCAAGTAGAAACTGCCTGCTCCACTCCCCGTGCAAAAGGTGAAAAGTCAAAGGAATTACTGTAACAGCCACTGAGCACGACAGACATTACAGCCCTAGCCAAACGCAACCGCAGCCTCACTGAATGACAAATGCCAGTGGGCACCAGCGCACACGTGCTACAAATCATCAAGTCCAATTCAGATGTGGAAACGGAAAACCTAGAGACCCGAAGTGCAACGTGAAACATCAGGCAGGAGAAAGAAAACAGTGGCCAGTGGCTGAAAGCTTTGGGGAGGAAGCAGATGCACAGTAATGTACAGAGCGAGGACGCTTCTGGGCTGTTGTGCCTAGGTAGTGCTGTCTTTACTTCAAACCTTCCCGAAGGAAAGCAGCAGTAAGGCACGTGGTCAGATGTTTGGATTTACTTGAACTATGAAACTATTAATTTAAGGAAAACATATAACCTCCACGTGACTTTAGAGATAAACTCTAAGCTCCAGAAAGAAAAATACTGCAAATCTCTTCATCAACTAACTGGATAAAAATGCCAGCATGCAGACACTCTTTGCATCAATCTCCTGCAAGACAGTTTATGGTTAATGAAATAAAACAGAGCAGAAATTATTTTTATAATCACCCTGTCCAAGTATCTGTGACATTTAGGAAAAGAGGATGACATTTCTGCATGACTGGGTAGTGTTTCTAAACTCCGGTGAATCATGCAAGCAGGAGAACACACCTGGTACAAACAGGCTGCCGTTCCGAGAAAAAATGCAATAACATAGCTGAAGTCTTCACCTTCGTTCTGTGAAAACAAAACAGAAAGGCATGGTTTGCAGTGTTTCCGTGAAATACCACACATTTACAGTACAAAAGTTACTATTGTTGTATGTCATAGTATCACCTCGAGATTTGTAACAGTTCCTATACTGCGCTAAACCAAAGGAGTCAGCACTAATCATCGCTTACTTAGATGTCTGGAAAAAACCCACCCTGATCTGGAACCTCACCAAAATGTTTATTCACAACAGACAACTCGTGCTGAGATTTCCAAAAGCCTTAAAGGCAGCCCAGCTCTAACACTGGACACTTGCCTTCTCGGGATGCCTTCGCCAGTTCAAGTCTAACCGCTGGGAACTACCCTTAACGCCGACTTTGTCGACCTGTGCCTTGCTGCAGCTTCACCAAACGGGGACGAGACAGAAGGAAAAGACACCAACTGGCCACTGGGGTGTGGTAACACCCTGCGTGGAGAATACGGAATGCCGGCAGCTCTGCTGCATGGCAGCCAGGACAAACAGCAGCCCGTAGATTTATCACAGGGAGAATACTGAAAAATCCAGTTTTCTTGAAGGAAAAGATAGAAAAATGTACTTGAAGTGATAAATCCTTCCACTATGTGCTCAAAAAACAAAACAAAAATTCCTTCTAACTTATTCCAGCGGGTTGTTAGAGTTTCCATAGAGCTGAGCAGAATTAATTAAGATGCATAGTGATTATTCCAACTGCATTTCCAACAAACATCTGCGACAATCAGAAACTCTCCCACGAAATCAATGGGTGCTCACGCAAGTGTCCTCCCTTGAAAGCGAATTCCATTTTGAGAAGGTGGCAGTCCATTCTGAACTACAACTCGTTTCTGCCCAGAGTGCGCGCGGCGTCAAACGTTCACACCGGCAGCGTCGACTAGGGCCGAGCTTGTGTGCCTGCCCACAATGAAACCTACCTACGCAACGCGGCCCGCTCCGAAACTGGCCGCAAACCTCTGCCTCGGCGCCGCTGCGCGCGCGCCGGCAGCGTCGACTAGGGCCGAGCATGTGTGCCTGCCCACAAAGAAACCTACCTACGCAACGTGGCCCGCTCCGAAACTGGCCGCACACCTCTGCCTCGGCGCCGCTGCGCGCTTGCCGGTGCACAGCTCCGGGCTGCAACCGAGCATCGCTAACACCCACGTAGCACCGAGGAAGGAAACGCCAATTCAGAGAGGACCTTTTGAATGACTTCTCAGAAGAAGTGCCATTAATCATGGTTTGGATTATTTCTCCCTAAACCACGTGGATTTTTCCATAATGGAGAAAACTAAGAGAAATTTTAATGGAGTTTTAGTGCGCCTCATTTGTCAGAAATGAAGAAGCATCTTCCATCTGTACTGCCACCTATAACTTCCAGATGCAGCAGCATACAGAACAACATGAATTGGCTGCCCCGTCATCAGTTAAAGAGGTGAATGACTTGGCGTGCCTTTTTGAACAATCAGCTGCCCAAAGGTAACAAAGCAAGTTCTAGAAACGCTCTAGGTGGCAGAATCCTGTTCAGTACTATTCGTGCTGCAGGGCACCTTAAGCTCACTGCCCTTTATACGCTGGGGCAAGTGTGTGCAGCAGAGGAAAATCTACTAGTGATAAGGTAGAGGTGTATGTTCACGATTTCAGGCTTGGTTTTGCTTTAAAAATCAATCCACAGACAACTCAAAATAAGGACCTAGCATGGAAAACTTTCATTAGCCTTGTTCATCTATTCATTAGTCTTCAGGAAATGCTGAGACCTCAAACATGACTGCTTTATTAAATCTTATCTGTGAGATACATAATTACATAAGACACCTGGAACGCAAGTCATCTTCTTCACCTTATTTCCCTAAAACGCCCATTAGGTATCAAAAAGCACTGCAGTTATAAGGTCCAGGTATATGTTTGAACAAAAAGCTTAGCTGTTAAACAACCATTTTCTTTCAGAAAACTCCCACGGGATTCTTGGTTCTACCTCCATCACCACAGTCGCACGTTTAACATTGTTAACCTTTTTTTGTGGGAACACACGTGACCTTTCCATGTGTGCTTGCAAGCATGGCCAGCACACTCGTTTGAACTGCTTGACATCATTACCCACCAGCATTTTCACTGTAGCAGTGGGAATGAACCTAGCACAAGCAAGGGAATAGAAAGAAACGGAAAGGCTATCCGGGGGGTCAGGGCAGAGTTCACATCAGGAAATATATGTTTGTTGGGGGAGGGATGGGGAAAGGGGTTGGTTTGGGTTTTTTGGGGTATTTCAGAAGAAATTACTTGACAGTTTCCCTTACATTGATACTTCCAGCATAGAGAAATAGTTCTCCTATTTAAGAAGGTTTATTAAAAACAAACAAAAACCCCAAAAAGGTTTCTATAAAGCAATTTCACAAATCCCTTTTCAAGGTCCCCGCTCTGTGGAGCTTGCAAAAAAAACGGGCCAGATTTTCAAAGCTGCTCATCATTTCTCTCAAGTGTTGTTAAATAACGTCTATTAAAATTGAGCGTCTCCTGGCATAAATTTAGAAAACAGAACGCGATGTTCAGATTCTCACTGCTATGAAGGTACCTAGGGAAGGAGTCAGCCACCCACCTCCTCCTGCTCTCGAAACTCACAGCCCCAGTGAACGAGGCGTCTCACCCAAGAGGGATGCGCAGACCAAAACAACGCAGGTTTCACAGACAGAGGTCTGACCTCACCAACAGCACTTCTGAGGACAAAATTGGCAAGACGTAGCTCAGAAGCAAGCACCTTCCCAGGTGGTGGTATGGCTGCTATGCTGCACAACTTCATAAACATGTACCGTACCTGGAGAAGGCTTTCGATGGCGTGAAAGCCACGAATTAAATTCAGAGCCCCACATAACAGACTAAGCACGAACGAGACAATCCCTGGCAGAGTCACAGGTTCCAGGCGCTGATGAGGAGCTGCAAAGGATGGGGCGAAAAAAAAAAAAAGCTATCAAGGGTCAAAGCAGTATCTTTAGAGATTTAGTAAAACAGTAATCTCATTTTTCAGTGGCTTCTAGCTCAAGAAGACATCACTGAAGCAAACCACAAAACGTCAATCCTTTTTTCTAAAACAAAGAAGCATTTTTAGTATTTCAACACAAGGTTTAACCAAAAGTATACCTTCCTTCAATTGACACACATAATTGTATTATTATATCTAGTCTTTAATCCAATGCATTCCGTTTATTCAGGATGGCACCAAAAGCTGCTACATGCCAGGAAATCAATAGCAAACGATGCACTTCCTAGTGAAATCTGTCTCCAATTAGTAGCCAGCTAATGAAACACGTACTTAAGAGCTCCTCTCTCAACCTCCACTTTCCCTGAACGCTAATGCATTAGCGGAGCTATCGAGGCTCATTTAGCTTGTTTGCTGAACGGAATACTGTGAGGCAACGCTATCACAGTTCCCTACCTCGAAAAATACAGCCAGTGAGTGCTACCAAAGGCACCCTTAAAAAGACATCTCTGAAACAAAACTGGTATCTATATTAAAACCTTACACAGACCTTCCAGATGGTGCTTAGAAGTCTCTTACAAAGCACATGAAAATGAAAGCATGCTTACTGTCCATGCACAGCTACTCTTTAGTGCTTAGCTGGGGTCACCAGTACATAACAGTTGTGCACGTTCCTCATTACTGTCCCTGTCCATAATTAATAACAGAAAGCAAATAGGAAAAAACAATGCCAAACTCTTAACAGGCCAGGCAACATGGGGAAAACAATAGGGTTGCTGAGCCATACTGAAATCCTCGTGTTCAAATCAACCAAGTGTAAAGACGTGGACAATGAGGTTAATGAACTGTGACATTAATAGAGAGAGGGGTGTCAAGCCTGGCTGTTGGCATCCCACAGACCCAGGACAAAGGCTTTCCAAACAGTTTATGAAGCTACAGAACCCAAAGGAAAAATGACAAGAGCTATTTCCCACTGATAAGCAGACAGGGCTGTCTAATTATGAGTGTGTGATAACTTAAAAAGAGAACAACAGATCAGTTCAGTTAACTCGTTTGTGCTGAATTTAATACAGTAATCAGGGTTGGGATTTTTTTTAAACAAAGGCATCACCCATGTTTAACTTTCAGAGCTTATAGTAGTGCATACCAGAGGAACACTACCGGCAACCACTCGGTTGAGGTCAGATAGCGTGTTCTGCATACTGAACCATTCTTTTTCGGTGACTCGTAACCAGTTGCTTTGTTTTATTTTGGGTTTTTTAAACCACCTCATCCAGACAGTGTCAAAAAGCTGAAGGTGTGTGTGACTGGTTTTAGCCCAAAGTCATTGCATTTCATTAACCGGTGGATAAAATCAGTTGACTGCTCTCCAGACAATCCCATTTTCCCCATGTATCCAGGTAACTTTAAAACATCACGTGTTAAGCCAGTAAACACCTCTCTGAGAGCCATGAGGGGAAAAGTAAAGAGTCTTGTCAGCTAAATCAAGACAGTCTAGGAAGGATCATAGAATAATAACTTTTCTTATTAAAATATGAAAACAAAACCAAAAGCTTTAAAGGACACTGCACACCACTACTGATATCATTAAGTTCTCCAAGGTTAAAATTGAACAAAAAGAATCACTTAAATACCAAAAAAAAAGAAAAAAAAAAAAGGGTAAAACCAGAAGAATGAAGGAGTGTCAGAGGAGGCAAAGGACAGCTGACCTTGAGTCAGTACACCCATAAATTTTAGAGATTATAATTGTCATATCAAAAACTCTCTAACACAAGATCAAACAAAGCACAAATTCTGAATTAAAATGTTGAAATTTAAAATAAAAATTGGAAAATTTGCACAATGTGAGAAACTACACTACTTGTAAGGATGCTTATTTAAAAAAGTAAAAAAAAAATTGTGTACACTACACGACAAATAGAAACTTCTACCTGAGAACTGTTCCTTCGCTGAAAATAGCCCAGAAAAGAGTAAATTTGTCCTACTTCAGTAAATACCTAAATTATCACATATCAGGATGCTGCCACCCTATTTCTAATGCCGGCCCACACCTACAGTCACCTCTGAAGCAAAATTCTATCCATGATCTGCCCACTTTCTGCTTCACACATTAATAATTACCCCTATTCCTCACTACACAGCACAGCTTTCGCTGCTGTGCTCAATTACTTTAACTATAACAACAATGACAGACCTTGGACACATCTCCAATTACAGGTATAAGCAAGTAACAGACAATGCCCAGAGATGTTGTGGATGCCCCATCCCTGGAAGTGTTCAAGGCCAGGCTGGATGAGGCCTTGAGCAACCTGGTCTAGTGGAAGGTGTCCCTGCCCCTGGCAGGGGGGTTGGAACTAGATGGTCTTTAAGGTCCCTTCCAACCCAAACCATTCTGTGATTCCATGAATGCTTCACCAGCATAGCCAAAATTAACACAACAAATTCTCCTATACCATGTAACAAAACAAGATTTGCGTCTACCTGACTCCCTACCTCTGCCTGCTACCCAACTTGATATAACATACTGAATTCCCTCACAGCGAGTCGTATTGTGTTAACAGGACAGCATGTCCAGGAAGTTACACTCGGCAAACCACATCTTTTTGTGAGAATCTCTACTTAGAGCAAAGGAGAAACTTTGAAATCTAGCCAACTCAGGTAGCAAGCATCCAGAGAAAGTTCTTTCCAAAGGTGGAGAGATGCAAGGAATGTACAGAATTACCAAACTATTAGCAGACTTGCTAAAAAAGACACTGTTATTCAACAGCATCTAAAATGTGAAAAGCTGAGGAAGGAGCAAAGTGCAAACCTTTCATAACATACAGCCCTTTGATGGTGACTTTCTACAGCATTCAAGGAAGGAAGTGGATAACTGAACAGAGAGATCTACCGAATTCAGAGGAAGAAGAAAGTTAAAAGTAACTAAAAGAGGGGAAAAAAAATCCCAGAAGAAAGTCAACATGGGAAGAGAAGAGGACAACAGAACTGCTTCTGTATGACAGCTTGTGGAGAGGCAAGAGAAACAGCCCTGCCAGACTATCTGCCAAATATTGTTTAATTTTACTTTATAGTAAAAAGGGAAATGTCCTTACAAAGTTTAGCTTAGGCCTATATGATCTTCCAGTGCTTTTACATAGAAAAGTGATAAAAACCTCACCTCCTACTACATGGACAACTTTAAAATCACAGCCAATTTTGGCAGAATTCTCTCATGCTTATTGGTTTTTCTTTTTCCAATGGCAGGTAGTTTGAACCTAGACAATTTTCAGAGTTAACCAGTTGCCACTTCTGCCACCCTAACTTCTTCCACAAGCCAAGATTACACTGGAACATTAAGAGGTAACAACAATGTATGCACTGAAAGCGGCCAAAGAATGTGATCACAGCATTACACACCTTTAAAACCAGCACACGCGGGTAAGCGGTAGATAATTAAAGGTATGGACAGTGCTGCTTAAAAGATTCCACTCTTCCAAACAATCTAAAAGTCTTCACACGCTTCCTTTATTCATTTTCCAGATTCTCTGTCTAATACTGTTAAATTAATGTGGCAAGAACACACAAAGTTGCTATTATTAACACTGCAGACAAAGCACTCATTTGTGAGAGCACATCTTTCAGCCAGTGCAGCTCTTTGGACATTCACCATCACAGATGCTGCCTAAAGTGATGCTTCTCCCTCCAGCTGCTGTAACTCAAGACACTTTGCTCTCAGCTTACGTCATCACTGGGTCTTACTGGGCAGGAAGGATAAAAATTTTCTTAACTCTTAAAAAGTCAGAAAAAGAAAGAAGATCATCTTGCTAAGTGCCCGTAGTCATTATTTTCATGTAGCTCATTTTCCCTTCAATAAAGCAGTCCATTGAATAGGCCCATTTCTCTCTCCAAGTGCCTTGGGAAGATATGCACTTTGAGCAGGGGACAGAAAGACATCTAAGCTAAAACACACGTGGCAGTTTTGCGCTTTGAGAACATCATGGCAAAAAAGCTTTTTTTAAAGAAAAAAAAAAATCAAAGATTCTCTGCATCTGCCTCATTTAGGGTATGAAAACAAACGTCTGAAACTCACCTGCAGATATCTTACCAGTACCCGTGTATTCTGCCACAGCTAAATGTGGGAACCCGTTAGCTGAACCAAGCTCTGACACAGAAATTTGATAAGGTGGCCTCAGTTTGATTTCTGTCTGCATGTCCGCAAGGTTCATCTTTGTTGACAGAGAACGTGTGTTGTTATACCTCTGTTTGGTCCTCTGAATGAAATTATCTGTGTAAAATTCAAAAGAAAAAGATACATCCTTATGGACTTTTGTTAATTAAATAATCCAAGTCCACGCAGCTTTATGCCCTACGTACTTCACAAATTGAAATATATTGCTTGAAATGCTCGTATTAATCTTGGAATTTTTAATACTATTTCTGTTTTGTGACTAATATATCATGGGCTATTTAATTCTGCAGTTAAAAAAAAATTAAGCTCTAGAAATCTAATTACTTAGTAACTGTGAATAAACTAATGACTTTTCACTGCATGGGACTGAATGCATTGCTCGTACGATGGAATTACAGCGCTTACTCTAGCTCTTCCGTTAGTTTACTAAATGTCTCGATGAAAAAATTAACTCCTGCGTTCACGTACAAACTTAGTTGAGTATGAAGTGTGCTTGCAAAATATTCAGGCAGAGAAAATAAATACCATATTATACAAAGACTGTAATAGACCTACATTGCAACTTAACGTCTAGTAAAACAAGGGAGGGGGAGGGGAAGTGCTCACAGAAATCTTCCTAAAACAACAATTTTAAACAGAAATTGATAAAGATGGCTGGACAATTGTAGACAGGAATTATCCAACTGGAATATCTTCCCTCATATTTCTAAAACTGCAGTCCTTTTTGTTCTAATGTATTTTAGAAGAATATTTCAAATAACTGCCTAACATATAGCATTAAACCGACAAATATTAATGGAATTCGTAACAGCTGTTATCTGGTATACAGGAGATTAGTTGTATTTGGAGCTTGCATGACAGAAGATTAAATGCTTCACTATATCATCAGACAAATAAAGATCTATCCCTTCCATATACTGAACCAAAGTCACAGGACAGCTAAGAACACACATGAAGTTGCAATCTTTTACTTGAGAAATGTACGAAGCTCAATGCCTTTAGAGGTTAAGTATTCCTACAGGTATGAAGTCAAAAGACTCCTAGTGTTATTAACTAGGAGAAGATGAGCTCCAGATTTGGTCCAACAAGACAAACCACAACCTACTGGAATGAACAGAAGGACTATAAACAAGTTTGGATAAAACTCCACTAGTTCAATTTAATGCCCACAGAAGTATTTCTTCATTGACTCTAACAGGAGTTACATCAGACTCTAAATCCACCTGAAATACAGCTACAAACTGCCTTGGACATTTCTGGTTTGTATGCATGAAGTTGCACATCTATTTAAATACTCATTTGTCTCAATGTGAGAAAGAAGGAAATAGAAGTCAGATCCTTACCAAACTCTATGAAGCAGTAAGGTCTGACAGCAGTATTTGTCTTCATCATATTGTAGGTAGTGATGAACTCTTTCTGAAGCTCATCCAGGAAGCAGAAAGCCAGGACACTTGGATAATTTTCAGTGCACAACATCATATAGCTTACTCCCAGAGAACTGATAAAGCTGAGAAAACAAATTCAAAGTTTCAAATTTCAATCCAGGGAATTTGCTGCATCACTAGTCTGATCTCTCATTCTATAATCAGAAAAGCAAAAACTGCCCTGGGGTAGCAAAGGAATTAAGGTTTACTGAAAACTCCAACGCTATTCTGGCAGAAAACCCATCTAGTTTTAGAGGTTTAGATGTCTTTCTTCAACACTGCAATGTATGATCCTATGAGAAGCCGTGCTATACAGCTATGTGTAGGTACACGTATGTACACACCTTCACATACATGGAACGGAAAATAACATAATGCTTTTGGCAAACCGAAACACAGCAGGTTTGCCCCAAATAGCTTTTCATTCATTTCAAATGCAGAATATGTGATCTGGTGCATCCCAAAAAAACCACAAAAGCTTTTCTCAGATTGTGGGGGGAAGCAGTTTGTTCCTTCTAAAATATGTGAGGGAATAACACTGCTCTGTAGAATAAGGGATTCATCATTCTCCAAAGATAGCTGCAAGGATGACCAGAGGAGACTAATATGAAATCAGAAAGGGACAGTTTTCAATACACATATCCCCATGGCATTTAGGTGATTCATTAAAGAGAGTTCATATTTTCATTACACCTTCAAATTTCTTCTAAGTCTGATGGATAACTTATACTATTAAAAGTAATCAAAGAAAAAAAAGTAATAAAAACCATCCTGACTATGCCTTATGCCTCATTCTTAAAAATTTATTCTAAGCTGATGAGTTTACAAGCCAACTCCAGCTAAGGTTTTAAAAAAATATATCAACTGGAAAAATGTAGTCCCTGCTGGGCCTAATCCTGAGAAACGCTGGAAACTCACACATGCCAGTGGGAGACAGAGAAGGCTGAGCACCGTCGAGCATCATTCAGGTGGTAAACGGTGCCACCACTGTAACTTCTACCGTACTGTCAGCATGTTTGCTAGGGGTTAGGATGAAATCACTCACCTCATTTAAAACAGTGTATCTAAATTAGAATCAGAATTTAGCTCAGCTAAAGCGCAACTACGCGCAGCACTGTAGCAGCGTAATGGCACTAAGTTACCCATACTAAGGAGAAAGGTCACATGTAAAGCAAAATCCTGAGTAAACAATATATTCAAAGAATTATTTCACAAGAATCCAACCGTCACACTGCAAACAGGGGAAAAAGAGCATCTTCTGAATTATTACTTAATCAATGTTGACATGCAGGTACCAGCTCCAAAAATTTAGAAATTGTTATTTAAAAAAAAAAAAAGGGTGAAGAGAAAACAAAACAAAAGGCACTGCTGTCAAAGAGCTAGATGGAGCAGTAGGACAGGTATGCTCCATTCAACCATTCAAGACTACCCTACACTGTGCCTCCCCACTATAAAATCATTCCCATCCTTCCCACTCCCTCACTCCTTGTGTGTCGTATGAAATAATTCATA